GGGTTCGAAGTGACTTCTCTATTCTTGGGGGCCTGGGGCTAGGGCTCCATGGAGGACAGAGGCTGGGGCTTGGTCTTGAGGGGGGTAGGGTTTGGTCTCTGATCTCTGAAGTAGCTGGGGGCTTGTTGGATAGGCTTTGGGGGGCTTCTAGATGGGCTGGGGAGGTGATGGGGTTAGCAGAGGGGCTGGGGGTCATGATGGAGGCTGCTAGTGTTGATATCTGAGTGTTGTACCTCTATTCTCAAAAGCTACCCTCTCTGGCTATCAAACCCTCACCTTCAAACCTTTCAAGATTGGTCAATGTAATACTCTTAGTCTTCTTACAAATAACGTCATCAACCAAAACTCTATCTCATGTTTGGACCCAAACACAACTACACAAGCAAAACTTTACATATAAACTCACGTGGCTTCCATCCAAAGTTCCTCCCTTGTGGAACTCAGGTTGTCAACTTACAACCTCTTATCATGATCTCTTCTACTCAATCCTCTTTTGTTACTCTACCTGACATGGCTCACCGTCATAACTAGTTGTTAATCCATCAAGAACTTCCTTTGAGCACTTTCCCTCCTTTCAACTAACTCCACCAACCAGACCAGTTCTTCCCTTCCTTGTTGCTTCTTTTGTCAATCCTCAAGAACACAATTGGTCTCATCACTTCAGTAGGTTTCATACCAGTTCTGCTTTCCTCTCCTCAATAGGCATCCTGTGATTAACCCATTGTCTTGTAGTTTCTCTCTTTGATTCTCTCTTGTTGTGTTCATCCTATTCCTACCTAGCAGCGGTGGGCCGCTACGCTACACTACGCTACAGGCCCATGTAGCGTTAGCGTAGCGGCGCCATTTTTCTTTTTTTTTTTGTGTAGTGTTAGCGCGCCGCTACTGCCGCTGCGCTACGCTAAATTGTAGCGGCGCTAACACTAGCCAAATTTTGGTGTAGTGTTAGCGCACCGCTGGCGCCGCTACGCTGCGTTACGCTACGCTACAGCGTTTTTAGCGGCAAAAAATGCCTAAAAACCGCTAAAAATGGCTGTAGCGCAGCGTAGCGGGCGGTTTTTTGCGCCCTGTGCGCGTAGCGTTAGCGCACATGGGGGGAATTGCGCTAACGCTACGCTAAACGTTAGCGCAAATTTTTCCCCCATGCGCGTAGCGTTAGCGCAGAAATTTAAAAACGCGCTAACGCTACGCTACATTGTAGCGATTTTTCGCTACACTACGCTACGCTAACGCTACGGTTAGCGTAGCTGGCCCACCGTTGTACCTAGTATTCTTCATTGATTCATTGTTTGCCTTAAGTTTAGGATTCACTTCTTTTGTTTCTCTCATATTGTATTTCTTTCTTTGCTATTGTGCTCATTAGAAATACATCCTTAGTTTGAGCATTCACAGCTAGAGGGTAGTTGAGGTCTTGGATGAGGGTGGGTGGGCTGTAGGTAGTGTTATGGTGAGTTTGATGGGGGTCTGAGTTCTTGGGTTGTTTCCTGGGGACTTGATACTTGGATGTGTGCAATGAGGGGTCAATTGATTGTTCTTTACCTCATTTGACAAGTTTACTGGCTGGCGAGAAGCTGATTGGGATGCAAGCAATATCGAATTCCAATGCACGGAATTCAATATTGTTTGGGTTAAGGTTTGGATAGGGATCAGGGACTCCCATCTGCAGTTGATTTTGGAGCGCCTACTCGCAAACAACTGCACAGGGGTTTTTGTGGGTGAGGTCAGAATTGGGCCTCCAACTCCCAAACACCTGCGGGGTTTTGGAGGTTCAACTCCCAACCCCCAAATTCTTTTTATTTTTTTTAGTGTATAATAAACTCTCAAATAAACCGACGGTTTTGGAGGATCAACTCCCAAACCGTCGGGGGAGAAAAATTGAGGATTTGGATGTTCCAGGAAGGTCCTAAGGACGTCCTGGACGTTTGGGAGTTGATCCTCTAACTTTTGGGAGTCAATTAGCTAAGACCCTATATAAAAACAAAAAACAAAGTTTCAAAATTTGTGAAAAATAAACAATAAAATTGATTTTTTTCAAAAGCTTTGATATTTATTTTGGGGAAGTTTGAGTGCAGAGAGAAAGAAAGAATTGGAAATGGTAAGAATGATTATAAATGAAAATTTTGGAAAAAGTGGTTACCCACTAGTTTTAATCAGTTGTCAAGTGGGGCATTCACCAGATCACATTGCAGTAAAGCACTAGAATTTACTGTTTTGACAAGGTTAACTAGGCCTCCACGGTGGGAGTGGTAGCAATCAGTGGAGATTTCCAAGCCAGTGGAGGCCTATGACTGATATGGCAATCCCTGTGTGGTGAGTTTTCACAATTGGGCTGAAAACTCACTTTTCTGCATGGTTTCCACTCTCAGAAATCCCTCATTCACATCCATGGAATTTCCTTCCGGGACAGGGGAGGCCTGCTTCTTGTCCAGGTTTCTTTGTCTTCAGTTTTTTTTTTATTTTTGCTAATCATTTACAGAAAGCTTTTGAAAAGGTTGAATTTTCAACTCAAGTTGGCTTATTTTGGTGGGCCCAAGTTGAGCAAACCCCGCCAAAAAAAGTTCAAACCTTAATTTTATAACATCAATCTTAATTAAAGTTGTGGCGTACAGCTTCTGAGTTTGGGCTGAATCAATAGGATCATCTAGCCCTTCGAGAATTCCGGGCCAAACATCCATGAAGTTTTGAGGGAGCATCATGATTCCAAATCTTGTGACGCTCCCACCAAAACAGGAGAAGCTCAGCACCCCAGTCAGTTGACTTTTGGTGCAAGTCTCCCCTGCGTGGAGTTCCCTTTGGGAACTGCCTGGCCAGCGCTAAGCTGCCAGATGCGCCCGCCGCAGACAAGTCTTTGTCAAGTTTGCTGTTTTCACTCCTGTCTGAACAACTAACCTGGCTCAACCTTTTTTGTATCCAATTTTTTCATTTATAATAATTCTTGTTATGTTCCACTCTTTCTTTCTCTCAGGACTCCCACTTCCCCAAAATGAATATCAAAGCTTTTGGCAAAAAACTTTTTTATTTTTTATTTTTCACAAATTTTGAAACTTGTTTTTTCACATTCATTCTTTGGGACCTATTGTGCACCACTTGACCAAGTCTTATGACTTCAATCTGGTGCTTTGAGGCTCCGGGATCATAAACAAGCAGCCAAAAATAACGGTCCACCCACTGTACAATCTGAGTCAAGAGAAGAGATAGAAAGAAATATGAAAGATAAAATATAGAAAACAAGAATGAATCAGAATGAGAGAAATAAAGAAAGAATTGTTTAGATACTAGCACAGTAGAAAATAAGTGTGGGGTGGTTCTTTACTAAGCTAGGAGAGGGGGGAGGCCAAGTGGACTAAATGGCAGTGAGGATTGAATTCTTATGTAATCTTTTTTATTTTTGTTTTTTGACACCAGTGAATGGTGAAGGTGTCACATCATCCCTCATTGAATGGAAAGATTTCCTTCCTGTCAAGTGGGAGCAACTCCCAAACCCCCCTCCCCAAGAGTGAGGGGTGATTTGGGGAGATGACTCCTAACAAATCAAAGATAGACAAATAATAATAATAAAAATAGTGGGAAACGCCCACCCAGATTATAAGACAACTCTCAACAGACATCCTTTGACAGTAGAGATGGCACTAGGTACCTGCCACACTTTCAGAAGCTGCCCTGGACACTTCCAGCCACCAGCTGTGCATGGGAAGGGTGTATTACTGTCAAAGATTGAGTTCTGCATGCTCCACCTTCACAACTAGTGGCTGTAAATGTCCAGGGCACCTTCTGAAAGTGTGGTGGTGTGGAACTACTCTTGGGATGAATAGAGCTTGAGAGGGATGAGTGCTTTATTGGGCTGCCTCTCTGATAACAAGAAAATATAAGAGTATGGACTCTTAAGGAAAAAGGTGTGGCTGTGGAGATTTCTTGAGGATGGTATGTCTAATGTTTCTTATGTTTACTAGTCTAAATATACTTGTTCACAAATCAAGGTATCCCAAATGCTGATGGGCAAATACCTGGCTAATAATGGGTGATCAGTTATCTGAATTGCTGGGGCAGGATCTGATGATGAACAAATGAAGGGGAAAAACAAAGCTCCTTATATACAAAATTCTGGGGAGTGGCCAGCTTGTGGTTGGAAGATAAGTGGAATATTCTATGAAGAGTATGAAACAAGGGAAAATATTTATCCAGAGAAAACAGGGGAAACAAGCAGTGGGAAATGCTCCCAAGGTTACTAGTATGAAACAATTAAGGGGGAGAATATTCCATGGAAGAAAATAGGAGGAGATAACAGTTTCATGGACAAGGGGATTGTTACTAGTGTGAGACACAAGGAGAAAGAAGAATGGAATATGTTTGGAGGGGGATGAGTTTCAGGGTGTGGAGTTTCTGTTGGGATGGAGGGGGAAATTATATTATCCATGTGAATTGTGCCTGAGGGGATTCATGATTGGTTTTGGGGGTCTGGGGAGCTTTCTGGGGTGTCTTGATTGTGTGATTCTTCTGTGATTTGTGCTCTTGATAACTTTGAATCTTCAGGAGTGGCTTACCACATCCACCCCCAAATTATATGATGTCCCCATCATCCAGAAAGAAAAATAAAGAAAAGACAATCCTGAAAATTCTGAACAAAAATATATTCCAGACAAAGAAGTAAAACTGGTCATAACTGTGGAAATTCATGATCAGAGGTAGTTCTAAAAAAAAGAAGAGAAAACAAAAAAAATCTATGGTTGTATATGTGGAGGAATTGTTTTTGTAATTTTATATTATGTAATGATTTTTTTATTTTATTTTATTTTTTATTTTTTTTTGTTTTTTTTTTTTTTGATCCCTCAAATATTTACAAAAGGTTTTGAGGGCTTGTTTCTTCATGTGGCCCAGGAATGATAAAAGGTAGAGGACTGGTGTGAAGAAAAATTGGGACAAAACTAAGGATGAGAATGAATAACTGGGATCTAACCACCTCCAAATTAGAGGTGAAAAGGGGGTGTAGGAGTTTCTTCAGCAGGGGGGGGGGGGGGTAATGGGTGTAGAGCAGTAGATGGCTCTAGGAGATTCTCAATAGTAAGGCTAGTCCTCCTAGTGAAGCGGAGGGTATCCCATGCACTCTTAATTTTCGACCGTCGGCGACCGCTCCCTTCATTCCCACAATGCTCGCCAAGGCCTCGGCTGGGGTTGCAAATACTAGCCACGCCGCCGTCGGTGCGGACATCAATATAAAACAGTGATTGATGTTACCGAATTCCTGGAAGGCAGCCCTTACGTCGTCTTCGGAAGTCCCAAGCGTAAGGTTACTGACTTTGACCAACCGCGTTGTTGTGTCCGTGTACCGCGTGCAGTAACTGGCTTCGTCTTCGTAGATGATCGGAGGGGAGCTCATGATGAAAGATGCGTGGCGATTAAAGCCCGGTCTGTTTGCGTATCCTGCTTTCTTATGTCTTTTGTACGCCATGGTGTTACTCTTCCTTTGGAGTTCTTCAGACAAGCTCCGTACTACGAGGCTGTTGGTCTCCTGGTTAGAGCCCCGCGTGCGTTTCTGTCTCCATATTTTGTGGATACCAGATCGTATCACAGCTACTGGACAGTACCTCGACTCACGCCCCCCTGTTGGCAACCGGCTTGAGTCTGATACAAATCTTCAAAATCCTGGCTAGATTGCCTTGCTATGCCACCACGTGGTCGCCCGCGCGTTGGGTCCGACTCGGTCTATAAAGCTAGCCCCATTCTGCGGGAAGCTGGGAACAAATATCCCGTATCCTTTCGACTCTTTATTTCTGCCTCAATGACTACCTATTTTGAGATACCGGACCGTTTTGTCGGACAACCCTTATCCCCTTACTCGCTTGCTTCCGACGAGTCTACTCTGCCCGACGAGGTTTCTGCTCCAGACGAAGACTGTTCTGTCCCTCCTGGTGATGATCCTGTGGTCAAGGCCGAAGACACTGAGGTGCCTATGCCGGGGTCTCCAATCGATACCCGTAGAAGAGTCGAGGACCATATTCCGGCACCTCGCCCTCCTCCTCCGTCGTTTTCCGACATCCGACTGTTTGCCATCGCCGCAGCATTTCAAGCGAGCTCCGACGGTCAATTCCTTTTTCACTACCAGGAGAGACACGCCCGATCGCCATCGCCTCCTCGCTCTTCTGAGTACTCTGGAAGCGGATCCGCTTCTTCTCCTATCCGAGTCGATACGCCACCTCCCGCGGAACCCTGCTACGTCTACCCTCCTCACCCCAATCCTGATGTCAAGTTAACGCCCGAAGAGCGCGGTCCTATCTGGGCCGAGGTTGTACAAGAAGACGCGGTTCTGAACGCGCGACGACATATCAAGACCTTCTTCCGTTCTTATTTCGAGTTACTGGACGGAGACGTCCTCAATCACCCCCGTCGTAGTGGAGGCTACAGGCGATTAGCGCGCTGTCGATTGTATGAAAACGTTATGGAGGAGCTGGACCGTGTGCTTGAGACTGTAGACCAAGTGCAGATGACTGTTATAGAATAAGTAAGTAAAAAAAAAGGTCCTTATAGTATATAAAAAAAGTTGAAAACTTGATTCTGACTTTTTTTTTTTTTTTTTTTTTTTTTTTTAAGTAATCTTTAGGAATTTTTCAAGGATTTTTTCAAGGATTTTTTTCAGGAATTTTTTTCTGTTTCTTTTGGTTGTTTTTGATGAAATAATTTTTAGAAATACAGAAACAAAAAAAGAAAACTTATTCCCTGGAAAAAAAAGGTTTGACCTGAGAAGCAGCATATCTTCTTTTGAGTTCAGTGCCATCCAATTCTTCTAGTGCATAGGAGCCTCCTTTTTCTTGCTTGGTAATTTTATAAGGGCCATTCCACCTGTTTTCAAACAGTTTGCCCCATTGGGAGTCCAGACTCTTATTATAAACTAACACCAACTGGCCAGGATTGAGAGGGTTTCTGAGGGCTTTTTTCTGGTTCATTGTCTCCAAGGATTGGGATCTGGCCTCCTTCATCTTCTTGTAAGCATCTTGCAGGACTTCTTCTCTTCTTTCCAACTGGAGGACTCTTGCTGACAATAATTCTGTTGTTGATTTAATTTTGGTCCAAACTGTTCCCAGGTAAGTTTCCAGCTCTAAGTCCACAGGCAAGATGGCAGGTTGTCCAAAAATTAATTCATAAGGGGAATATCCAGTGGTTCTTTTGGTGGAAATTCTGTCGGCAAAGAGTACTAGTGGTAAGTAATTCCTCCATTTTTTTCCATCTGTTTCACAGAGTTTGACCAAAGTATCCTTCAGGGGCTGATGTCCTCTTTCCACCATTCCATTTGCTTCTGGGTAGTAGGGTGTAGTGACTTTGACCTTGGCACCTGCTTCAGTGAGGGATTTTTGGAGTTCTTGGCCAAATTCTGGGCCACCATCAACAACAACTGTCAAGGGCACTCCATATCTGTGGATCCAATTTTCCATAAACCATTCTGAAATTTTCTTGGCTTTGATTTGCTCCAGGCCTACAGCTTCCACCCATCCTGAGAGATCATCCCTGGCCACAACAAGGTATTTCCACCTTCCTGCTTTGATGTGAATGGTGTCCAAGCTTACTCTTCCAAATATTATGGGGATCCCAGTAGCCTTCTTGAGTTCCAAGGGTTTTGCTGAGCTTCTTTTCTGACAGGCCACGCAGGATTGAACCCATTTCTTGATAGCCCTCTTCATATTTGGCCACCAAAATCTGAGTTTTGCCCTTCTGTAGGTTTCATCCATGCCTCTGTGGCCCAATTCTTCATGGAGGGTCTTGAGGACTGTTTTCTGGAGGTCTTGAGAGGTTACCACAACCTGAGGAAAAGGTTTGTTTCTTCTTTTTAAATGGCCCTCTGACATAAAAAACATTGCTGACTTATGTTTAATAATACTCCAATCCTTGTCTGAACATTCAGGGGGCCTGTTGAGGGTTTCCAGGTAATATTGAAGGTGTTTCCAGACTCCAATTTGATTGCTGTGAGTGGGTTCCACCCCCAAATTTGCCATGTTGATCTCTTTTAGTCCAAAGCCAGGGTGAGGTTTGATCCATTTTTCTTCTTCATCAAAATCTGTTCCAATTTCTCCAGGGTCAGTGGTTCTTCTGGATAGTCCATCTGGCATTGTGAAAGTTTTTCCAGGGACATGCTTCATGGTAAAGGAAAATAATTGGATAAAGGCTACCCATCTGGTCATGGGAGCATTTGGAAGGCTGGGTGAGTTGATCATTTCTATTAGACTTTTGGCATCTACTAATAATTCAAAATGTTGGCCCCATAATTGAGTTTGTAGTTTCTTGAGGACCTTGGTGACTCCACAAAGTTCCAATTTGGACTGGGAATATTTGGATTCTGTTGGGGAAAATACCACTGATTCATAAAGGACAGGTCTGTCCAGGCCTTCATCTTCTTGTGTGAGCACTGCTCCAGCTGCTATATGACTTGAATCCACAGCTAATTTTATTGCTCCTGCTTCTTCAGAATAGTCCAATTTTTTTAGAGTAATATCATAGCCCACCAGTTTCTTCAGTTTTTCAAATGCATCCTGGCAAGCCTGGTTCCATTTCCATTCTGAGTCCTTCCAAGTGAGCCTTCTGAGGGGTGAAGCAAGTTCTGAAAGCCCAGGGATAAACATTCTGACATAAACACAGACTCCAAGAAATCCTCTGACATCTGTGGGGTTGTCAGGGAGTGGCCAGCTTTCCACCTTGTTGAGTTGTTTCTGGGCAATTTTTCTTCCTTCTTTGCATACCACATGTCCTACAAGGTCCAAGGCAGGTACACAACAGGCAAATTTCTTTCCAGAGATGGTGAGTCCAGCTTCTTCTATTCTGAATAAGATCCTTTCCAGAGTAATGGCATATTCCCAAATAAATCTTCTGATTCCTGAATTTTCTTCCAATGTTTCTTGATTATAGTCCGACACAGGGCCTTTAATCCCTCCATCATCAATAAAAATGCCCACATTATTTGGTATTTCATCCTGGAGTATCCACATCATTTGGGCTTGGTAGACTGCCACAGAATTGGTGGCTCCTTGGGGTAATCTGGTGAGTTGAAATCTGCCAAGGGGGGTTTCAAAGGTAGTGAGGGGTCTAGATTCCAGGGCTAATTCTCTTTCATCATATCCTCCCATTATATAACCCAGGCCATAGCAGGCCCTTCCAGTGAAAGATTCAATGAGTTCTTCAGGATTTGGTGGAAGTCCAGAGTCTTTGATGGTGACTTTGTTGAGCCTTTGTAAGTCATGGACCACTCTTAACTTTCCATCTTGCTTTTTGACACAAAATACTGGGCTGGAATAACTGGAACAGGATTGTTCATAGAGGCCAGTCTTGAGTCTTTCCCTAACTAATTCAATGAATTGATTCTTGATGGCTGCAGGTATTGGGATGGGCCTTTGCTGCCAAGGGTCATGCTTGATAACTGGGATAATGTAGGGTTTTCCATAGGTATGCTTCAGGAGTCCTCTTTCTTCTTCACAAAAGGCCAGTCCTCCTTGTCTGAGCTTGATGACATGCTTGAGGAGTTTCAATTCTTCTGGCCAAAGCCAACCAGGGGGTCCAAAGTTGACAACTTTTAATCTTTCTTCAGTTACTTTCCAGGTGGAGGTGAATTCAGGAGGGAAGGGGGTTAAGGGGGTTTTGTAAGGGTCTCTTGATAAAGGAGGGTTGCATAAAGGTGAGTTAAGGTTTTGGGGCATAGGTTCATTTACTGGTTTTATTTTTTTTGTAGTTGATTTATATTTTGCAGCATACACTAATTTATCCTCCTCCTTTTTATTAGGCACCTCCCAAGTCTTCACTTGTGGGAGGTGCCAGACACTAAAAAATGACTTGAAGTAGTGGCTGTGTGAACTGGAAAATCTTTCTCCCATTTCTGATTGGTTGGATTATGTATGGGTACCAAGTAAGTTTTGCCTGACTTCTGAATTGCCAAGGATTCTGCTCCATGTTGGTGAAATTTGATGGTTGCTGACACATCTATGAGCCATGGTTTGCCCAAAATAGGTTGAACTTCTCCTGCAGAAACATAAAAATGTATTCCTCTGGTGATGTGACCCACTTTTACAGGTACATTTTCAGCTACTCCTAGAATTTCATTCTTGTGGCCACCAATTCCTTTAAGATTCATGGCTCTTTGGGTGATTATGAGGCCCATTCTTGCTGCAAGGTCCCTGGGGAGTAAGTTGACTTGTGATCCATTATCCAAGAGTGCTTGAAATGACTTCCCATGGATACTGACATCAATATATCCTAGGGGGCAGGCATAGTGGCTGGGTTCTTCCTGAGAGTCTTCATCTTCTTCTCCATCCTGGTCAATTCCCCCAGTGTTGGTAGATTTGGTGGAGTCCACTGGAATTCTTTTTGAGGTAATCTTTTTCTTGAAGGCTTCAACAGTTCCATTAGAAATTGCAAAAATTTCCCCATAGGAAAGTTCCATTTTACCATCCATTAACATCCTGCTGACCACTTTGTCTTCTGCATCTGGAAATTGACTGGTTAGAGGTCTCTCCACATAGGTTTTTCTAGGGGCCTTTTCCTTGCTAGTTGGTATGGTAGTGCTTTCTGGATCCTGGATTTGGACTTTCTTTGGTGGAGGATTTTCCTTGGTGGATGAAGGTGGAAGGGTTACTGGGTTGTAGTCATCCTGTCTGGCAATTTCTTGAAGTCTGTCCCTGTCTACATCCATTAGGTCCTCTTTTTCTTTTCTGACCCTTTTGCTGACTGAGGTTTCTTCTGGATATTCCTTTCCACTTCTGGTCCTTTTTACAGCTTCACATTCATAGGTGGATTCCTCTTCTTGGTCAATTTCTTCCAACTTTCCAAAAGAGGTCTGGGGGTCCATGGAAATTTCTGCAGATTTATTAAGGGCTCCTTGAGGTAAGTTGATAACTCCAGGCTGTTTTTGAGATAGGTGAAAGTGGTCCACAGCTGATTTGAAGGCCTTGTTTTTCTGCCATTGAACTTGAGATCCATCTGGTAGGATTACATTGGGTCCATCCTTCTTGAAGAGTCCTTTTAGTTCATCCTCATTGGCCATGTTACATCTGTGGAAAGTGTGGCCTAGTCCATGGCAATAATTACACTTGACAGTACTCCAGTCCTTTTCCAATTGGGCAGGTTTGTAGGGAACATGGCTTTTGGAAATTAAGGGGTTGGATTTCTGAGTGTGCCAGCTGGCCAAGGTCTTGGTGAGATCTTCCACAGCTTTCTGGTCCTGGGTTTTTGTGGGCTGGGGGTTTTGCTGAATTGTTTTGCTCCATTCCTCTCCCTCTATTCCTCTCCAGATTTTTCTTCTTTCCATGACAGATGCAGACTGAACTTCTCTGTGGATATAACTGATCAGGGTTTCAGTATCTGGCAGAATGTCCCCACCATCCTTGGAGGCCAACATCATATTGTCTCTGATGAGCTCCTTGGTTACTGAGGATTCCAGGTCTGGGCTGAGGGATTCCAAGTTGGAACTGTATCCCATTCTGACCAAGTAGTGAGTGATGGCTTCAAATTTGGTCCTAAAGATTTTAAAGTGCTCCAGGGTCTTGATTCCTCCTCCTTTGATGGCAGAATTTACCAGGTGCTTAAGGTCATGCCTGGTGTACTTAACTAGGGGAAGGGAGGATCCAAATCTGTTGAGTAGTTGTTTCTTCAGTTGTTCCCAATTAGAGTCTTCATATCCTGACATCTCCTCTACTTCATCCTTTAGGTCCAATCCTTTGATAAAGGGGATAATTTGTCTGGCCAAATCCTGGGGGGTTGCTCCATCTGTTTCACCAGCAGCCTCATATCTCTTGATGAACTTTTCTATGGGCATATTGGTACCATTAAAACAGAGGTCCTTATCCAGGGGTTTGATCTTGATGGTTTTTCTTCCTCCAGAGTATTTGGGCATTTCTGGTTCTCTTTCCAGGAAGTGGATGGGGGTAGGTTTCTTGGGTTCCAGAGGGTGAGTGGGTTGGGTTGCAGTGTTTCTTACTGGTGGTGCTGGTCCTGTTTGCTGACTGGGTGTTCCTTGGGGGTACAGAGGTTCTTGAATTTCCAAGGGGTTCAGGTCATCACTTTCAGAGGGTTGGGGATTTCTCATTGGTCCAGGGTTAAAGGCTGGATTATGGGCAGGTGGTTGGTAGAAGGTGGTTCCAGGGTTGTAGTACTGGTGAGGAGGTAGTTGAGGGGGTAAGATTTGTCCTCTCCAAGCTGGGATGACCAAGTTGGCCATGTTGATCCTAGGGGCAGGTCCAGACAGGGAGTTTCTTCTTGGTGGAAAGTTCATGGTGGAGTTGGAGTGGGTAGTAATGATAGATAAGGTATGTTATTTCTATTTCTACTGAGTTGGGTAATAACCAGCTAATCTGTGTATGTCTATAGGTAGTCTAGTAATTTGTAAGTGGTAGTGACTGAAAACCAAAGATCTGTTAGGCCACTGTTGGGACACCACTTGTGGAACTACTCTTGGGATGAATAGAGCTTGAGAGGGATGAGTGCTTTATTGGGCTGCCTCTCTGATAACAAGAAAATATAAGAGTATGGACTCTTAAGGAAAGGTGTGGCTTTGGAGATTTCTTGAGGATTGTATTTCTAATATGTCTTATGTTTACTAGTCTAAATATACTGGTTCACAAATCAAGGTATCCCAAATGTTGATGGGCAAATACCTGGCTAATAATGGGTGATCAGTTATCTGAATTGCTGGGGCAGGATCTGATGATGAACAAATGAAGGGGAAAAACAAAGCTCCTTATATACAAAATTCTGGGGAGTGGCCAGCTTGTGGTTGGAAGATAAGTGGAATATTCTATGAAGAGTATGAAATAAGGGAAAATATTTATCCAGAGAAAACAGGGGAAACAAGCAGTGGGAAAATGCTCCCAAGGTTACTAGTATGAAACAATTAAGGGGGAGAATATTCCATGGAAGAAAATAGGAGGAGATAACAGTTTCATGGACAAGGGGATTGTTACTAGTGTGAGACACAAGGAGAAAGAAGAATGGAATATGTTTGGAGGGGGATGAGTTTCAGGGTGTGGAGTTTCTGTTGGGATGGAGGGGGAAATTATATTATCCATGTGAATTGTGCCTGAGGGGATTCATGATTGGTTTTGGGGGTCTGGGGAGCTTTCTGGGGTGTCTTGATTGTGTGATTCTTCTGTGATTTGTGCTCTTGATAACTTTGAACTTTCAGGAGTGGCTTACCACAGCGGGTACCCTTCAGCGGTTGCCAAGTGCCATCTCTAGTTGATAGTCATTGGGAGTTGTTGACTAAGATTTGGGATTCCCTTGTAAGGGTTGCATCAACCGTTCACTGTCTGTCGGATGGAGGCACTAGAGAGCTAACAAGCTCAAATGTTTTCTATTACCAGGGTCTGTATTTCAACTGGTTGGTAGGAAATGGTCTCTTGTAAGTACAACTGAGGAAAGAAGGAAAGGGATAGAGAGCCTTTGAGAATGAGATGAAGAGAGGGAAAGGAAAGGGTCACTCATCAAGTTACTAGGAAACAGTTGCTACTAAGTACAAAAGGTGTAGATCATCTGGGACTAAGTCTTGTCTTTGGCTTACATAATACAACTGGGCCCTTGTGAGTGTAAACCCCCTCCCTCAGCTGTCAGTGTCTCACAAGAATTATAACTAGATGTCACACTGTCTCTCTAGTCTTTCCGTCTCAGTGTTCCTTTCCTGGTTTACCGGAGAACTGACCCCATCCTCTCTCTGAACCAGGTAAGTCCTTCTAGTTGCTTTTCCCTCAGTCTTTTGTATTTCTCTTTTGATTCAGATTGTCAGGAGAGAACTGACCCCATCCTCTCTCTGAACCAGAAATATAAAATATTCTGTTTGGTCTTAGCAACAATGTAACTGATGTGATGCATGCATAGGTATTGCATTGTATCGGGACTTTATTTCATTGCATTGCAAGAGCAATGTGGGGCCCGCATCACATCACTTGCATCGGATTCTTCGATACAGTGTATCAGTATCGCATTGGCAAAGCAATGCACTATAATTTGGTGGCATTGGTTTGCATTGCTTTCCGATATGATGCCAATGCAATGAATTGCTTTTTCAATGTGATGCCAATGCAATGCATTGCTTTTTTGATGTGATACCAATACATGGCTATTTATCACATTGCATCACATCGTTTCACCGTTGGTCTTAGAATTTGCTTTGGCTTTTTGCCCGTCCCCAGTGCATCTTTCTCACTCATCCAGTGAAGGGCTACCAGTCCTTACAGTGAGGACCATAAGAAGGGAGGGACCTCACATTGTTTTTATAACCCCCTTTATGTATAGAGTCTTGGTTAATCAACTCCCAAAATTAGGGAGTCAATCCCCCAAAACTGTTGACCGGTTTGGGAGTTGACTCCCTAAAAATTTGAATAAAAATAAATAAAACCCCCAGTTGGTTTGGGAGTCGGTCCTCCCAAACCAACCAGGGTTTGGGGGTCGATGAACCAAACCAACCAGGGTTTGGGGGTCGATGAACCAAACCAACCCCCACCCCACGGCAGCGGCTGAGAGCACATTCTTGACAGCCGAGAGGGGAAACCCTCTCGGCCTTCAAGGGTATGTACACTCTCAACGCCAAGAGGGGTTCCCCTTTCCGTCAAGATTATACACTCTCAACAGCTGAGAGGAGAAACCCTCTCAGCCGTTGAGGGTATGAACACTCTTGACACCGAGAGGGTTTCTCCTCTTGGCCGTTGTGTTGTACAAAACCAAATCAACCCCTAAGAGGGGTTCCCCTTTCCGTCAAGATTATACACTCTCAACAGCTGAGAGGAGAAACCCTCTCAGCCGTTGAGGGTATGAACACTCTTGACACCGAGAGGGTTTCTCCTCTTGGCCGTTGTGTTGTACAAAACCAAATCAACCCCTACCTTACGGAGTATCCGCACCGACTTTGCCAAACAACAGGCCGAATATAAGGAGAAATCCAACGCTCAAATCGCTGCTGCCTCACTCCCAAAGACGGCCGAACTTGCCGCGGGCGCCGAAGCTAAAGCTGCTGGCGACTCAAATGTCGACGGCGAAGAGAAAGAAGGAGCAAAAGATCACAACTCCGATCACTCAGCAGGTAATGGTCGAAGGGTATCCGTCGCGGATACCCGTGATCCGCTGGCGGATACCCGCCAGTGCCAACGGATACCCGCCAACAGGTGCGGATTCGGGTGCGTGTGGCCCCTTTTCCGCAAAAAAGTTGGCGGGTATCCCAAAGGATACCCGCGGCCGGAAGGGGAGATGGCCGGCTGGAAGGAGACCCTTCCAGCTGACAAGTACCTTGTCGACTGGAAGCTTGTAACTCAACGGCTGGAAGGAAGCCCTTCCAGTTGTCGAGGTACAAGTACCTCGTCTTGTACCTCGTCGACCGGAAGGGCTTCCTTCCAGCCGGCGAGGTACAAGTACCTCGTCGACCGGAAGGGCTTCCTTCCAGCCGTTGAGGTACAAGTACCTTGACAACTGGAAGGACGCCCTTCGAGCCATCGAGGTACTTGTACCTCGACGGCTGGAACGAAGCCCTCTCTGC